AAATAAATAAATAAATAAATAATGTTTTTGAGTGATCACGGTGAGCTAGCGTGAACAGTGGCATACGAGATTAGTCCAAGTGACTCATTTACAACTAAGGTTTTACTTATAACAACTGCCTGCTGCTCAGAGGCAAGAAATAGTTGTTCGATAAAGATTTTTACAAATGTTGACACTTGATTGGTTCTTTGTTGTGGTCTGCATTGGCAACGAGCGGCGACAGATCAAGTTGATATGAAAACCGATACCGTACTACGTGAAATAAATGTCGTATCTACCGAAATCTCAAAAACGGGGTATGATATCGATTTTATTTCTCCTCCAAAGCAGTTGAATTGTTTAGGAATTTTTGTTCAGTTAGCATGGTTCTAAAAGTTTGAACATCGCATGGAGATTAGAAGCTAAAACAGTCCATCATTCGCAATGTTGGTGCTCAGATCTGTTCTAGCACCAGCGCCGCCCACTCGTCGCTGAAGCACGTGCATGGGATCTCAACTGCATTGAGCAGCTTAAAGTTGTTTAATCTTCTTGACAAACATCACAATACACGTGTTGGCCGATTTCCAGAGAGTATTCACAAAATTTATTTTTTCTAGAAAAACCTTACCATCAAGTAAACCTGGACGGAACGCAATTAACTGCTCTACGTAGTTCCAGGGGCTAGGAATGTAAATTTGATGTATATATGGCACTAATTTGCCAGAAATTTTGAGCATTGCCAGGTTTTAAATTTTAAACATCGTTTGAAGGTCTTGCAGATTAATATTTTTTAGTGTTTACTTGACCGTGTCATAGTACATTTGGGCTGAATGGAATAAGCATGTTGTGGTGCTAAAATAGCCGACACCTCGTACCAGTTGTGTTTGTTCTAACGATGAATAGATCGAGAGAGTTTAATTTACGGCAAGAATGGAGAAAACTTCACATCAGTCAAGCCGAACAGAGAAAAACCTCTTGTCTCTTGAAGAATTTTTTCGCTTCAAGTGCAAAACAGCAATAAAGCGAAATCGTAAGAATTTTAAGAGCATTAAGATTGTTTTTCAAGAACTCTTGTAAAAGGCTCATTCATATTTGATGTGTTTCACCTGCTCGTAGTTGGAAAGGATTATCGCTTTAGTTCCAGTTACTAGTTCACTATGGAAGCGCTAGAAAGCCTTTGTGGTTCATCGCTTTTACGTTGGCATAACACCAGAAATAATTCACATCCGCTTGCTGACAAACACGTGTAAAAACCAAGGCTGCCGAAGGCGGGACTCTTTTCGAACATTTATCAATTTCCTTGGCTATTTAGAACTGGCGCGATCGCACCGGATATGTGGCCGCGCTCCTGCAAACATTCAAGAGAAACATTTTCGCGGCTTTGTTTTGTTATTAAAATTAATTCCACGTACGAATTATATTTATTCTTTTCATGGACGTGGTCGTTGTTGATATGTCGCCAATACCCCGTAAAGTTTCATTTTATTTTCCCTCTTCGAGATGGTAAGCAGCCCCGGGCGATGTCCAAGCGTGCGAAATAACAAGTCTTTTAGGCGCAAAGCAAATCCCATCCGCGCGGAATTTCTACGTTTAAATCAATGGACGTGTCGAGGCGATTTTAGTAAAGTGACAATTTCATTCCATGTTTGTATTTCACTTAGAGGAATTGGAAGTTACTATTTTTGAAAATTCGCTGGGCAACATTAGAAACTTGAACAAGTTTTGCCCAAAGCAGAAGATCGCTGGAACACAACCAGTAGCACCATTTTCTTGGTAGTTATTTCTGGCATTTTTTGTGGCTGTGGTGTTTTTAATTCACAGCTGTTCGGTCGAAAGTCATAAAAATTTAAACGTTTCGATTCATCCACACAATATTAATTTCAAGGGCCTCGACAAAGTTTTCTCCTCAAAGGATGACTTCTGTTTTGCAAATACTTTTGCAGTAGGCTAGTTCATTGGAAGCAAAATACCCGAACTTGATAAAGGAATTAAGACTTTCAAACTTTGGACTTTCATAATGGTTTCTTTATTGCTAATAGCTGGCCTTATTGAGATCCAGCCCGTGCCATGTGCTAATTAGATGAGTCAATACATTTCAAAAACATGAAACTCTTTGATGGACAAAAGCAGAAAGACTTAATCAAGTCCCACACGGTGCACGGCCAAAAAGAGCGCCCCGGACAAAGAGCCACCAATTATCCGTTTGAAATTGTTTGACTGTTTAGAGAATTTGCGAGCTCTTTAACACACTCCGGGAAGCTATAGTGCTAAGACACATTAGGACTGATGCGACTCGCGTGAAAGAGACACGCCAGAAACAAAGCCAGTAATTATTGCATTTTTACGAACCATGCGAGTCGCGTAGAACAAACGGAACCACTTTACCATGCTGTAAAACCCGCCCAAATACCACAGAACCTGCTGAAATAGACCAGGTAGCCATCTGTTACCGGTTTCACAATTCTTGTCGAAACTGACTCGGTTTATTGTCCTAGGTAATGGAGTTTTTTAAGTGTTTTAAGCCTAGTATCTGGGCATTCTATGGGATTTCGTTTCCGCTTTTAGCTTGTCGTCATGTCGGTTGATAGATGTTTTTAATGAAGTGCGCTTCTCATCAAACTGTGTACGATTCTCAAACGGGAAAGGCGCCAACCCGTCGGGTTTGGTGAGAATTTTGAAATCTATCTTATCAAAAATATTTTGATCCTCCGGAAACAGGATATAATTTCAGCTCGCTTTAAAAAATGCTAAGCGCACACCCAGCATGAAGTGGAGATTTCAAAATAAATCTGGCATGCAAAGCCTCCTGTGTGCCACATACCAGGAATGGTTTCCTGGACACGTTCTTTAGAAGCTATTTGGCGTAGGGGACATCAACGCGCTTGCAGATGCAGGAAGAAGCGTTTCTATATTAAAAATATTGTGACATGGCTGGCGATCGGTTAGGCGACGAAATCTACTGGCTGACATTAGAATATGTGACAAGGAACATGAAAAAGGTGCTAATTCTTTCAGAAAAGAACACAAAAATATCACCTCCTCAATGGATTGCATGTCAATTACACATATCAAGCATTAATCTCGCCGCTTCTGATTGGTCGCTGGAAAACGCTGGACCAATCAGGTGAAGGGGTTCATTAGTTCTTGTGACATCTTACCTTGTACCGACGCAGCTGGAATAAAACTCATCAACAATCGCGAGTTCAACCGAAGAGAGCGTGAGAGAAGAGTAGTAACAGCTAGCGATAGTATGGCGTACTATCCGTTTTACCCGGCAAGGATGAGAGATTTTCGCGTCAGTTCTTTGCTCGAGGGATGTTCTCAATTTATTCCTGGAGTGCCAGGAAGCAGTTCAACGATTCCGAACAATTTAAAATCCAATGGCCCGTTTCCGTATTCACCGTACCATCCACCGCAAATGGCAAAACAACCTTCCCACTTCGGGCCAGGCGCCATATCGGGTCCCCCGCAACAAGTCCACATGCCAGTTCACGATTCGGAAAAGGAGAGTATCGATGTTTCTCTGGAAAACAAGGACCTCTGGCAGAGTTTCTACGAGGAGAAGACAGAAATGGTTATCACCAAGGCAGGAAGGTATAACGCCGACTTAGCTATTCTCTTGTGACCAGCCGCAGCGATGGATTGTGTCGAATTAAACGCCTAGCTAGATCTCGATGCAATGCAAACGCCAGTTTAAACAGACAATTTGGTCCGCGAAAAAGCTAAACAATCCCCCCAGAACACATTCACTCCTTTAGGTGTAACGCTATTAAGCCGGTCAGGGACCGTTGTCGATTTCACCGCCCATGTTAATTTCAATCAGCTCGTGGCTAAATGTTCTCGCTCTCTTTCAACAGGCGAATGTTTCCACCGGTCAAGGCGCGAGTCACCGGATTAGACCCGCGGGCGAAATATTTCTTTCTGATGGACATTGTCCCAGCCGATGATTGCCGATACAAGTTCCACAATTGTCGCTGGATGGTGGCAGGAAAGGCCGACCCTGAGATGCCAAAACCACTCTACATGCACCCGGATTCACCGAGCACAGGGGCGCAGTGGATGCAGAAAACCATTTCATTTCACAAAATGAAACTCACCAACAACATCGCAGATAAATATGGCTATGTAAGTTTCTTTTAAGCCTTTGAAATCTAGCCGCTTTATTCGTTTTTCATACATCTATCGATTTGCCGTCACGTCTGTAATTATTTTTGTTTGTTGATTGTGGTTGATGGCCGATTTAGCTCTTTATTCATTCGTTCTTTATCCCGTTTTTCTTTCAGACAATTTTGAACTCTATGCACAAGTACCAGCCACGAATTCACGTTGTGAGAGCGGACGATACGTACAAACATCCTTATAGCAATTTTAAGACTTTCACATTTCCCGAGACGGCTTTCATTGGAGTGACGGCTTACCAAAATGAAAAGGTTTGTGTTGAACTTACTGTTAATGATTACTTTCCCCGCTTGTGTCGAATATCAAATCCTCATTTTGTTTCTCAAGTGGTTTTGTGTCCATGAAATTTGATTTGGCTTAAGAGGAGTTTTGAGTATTTGTGTTTCCATTCAAGAGAGCTTTTTAGCTTTGTTGTTGAATCGATATCAATTCATCGAAAGGATCTACCCACACCAGGTTTATTTTGACTGAACAAAAAACAAAAACATACAAAGTTCTGCAAAAACTAAAACGTATTTATTTTAAAAGAAATCGTTCAATTAGTTTTTACGCTCGTCTTATTGAGGCAAAACGTCTCACTGAAATCTTCGTTATGGCTTTGCACTATCAGAAGTTTTAACAATGTTCAAACTAAAACAACAAAACTGGTGAAGGAGGTAGCATCTTTTGAAAGACTTTTAAACAAAACTGTCAGATTAAAAAAGCTTAAATTTATCTTCGTTCGTTGTTCTTTATTATTTTCTTTGTTGTTCCGTGGAGGAGTCAAATCAGTCTCGAAGATTCTCCGACATCGAATATTCTGGTAAAATATAACCTTTGTTGTTTAGTTCATCCGTCGCGTAAAAGCGGGATTGAAACTTTTTCAATTAGGTGTCTTAGTTTTTCAATACTTTGTGTTTGTTCGTGAATGTTTACTGTTCATTTTATGTTTGGAACTATTCGCAATAAAATTGCTCCAGGAATTAAATTGTTAACCTTTTCTTTGGTTGCGACGCTTTGCGTGCGAATCGTTCTTTAAACCCGAACCTGGTCTTTAAATTATTAAATAATTCCTGGTCCTTTTGTAACTCAACTCTAAATAACGGAGAATTTAAGAGAACGGTTTGGCGAAATGAATCTTATTTCTTGCATGTTATTTTTCAACAGATAACCAAGTTAAAAATCGACAACAACCCTTTTGCGAAGGGTTTCCGCGAACAAGGAGCTGGCCATCGAAGGCGGTTGGAAAGAAGGTACTACTTTGTCATGTTCTGTTGTGTCACACCAATTTGTTTGAATTTCATTTTCACTATCATCTTAGTGCCACTTTAATCTGTTTCACTTAAACGCTGACCCCTTGGGTACAACTACTTAATACCCGAGGCGAAGGCCTCAAATTTTTGGTACAAAGAAACATGAAAAAACAACTATTTTGACACACAAAGCCGCGAACAAGCCACAATGACTTGTTCTGCGTGCGCGATTTTCACACTTTCTTTATCACCTCTTCGTATTCATTTTGAAGGCAACGCAGCAACCCAGGGCATTCCCAACACGACGAAGACGATGAAAATAACAGTGATGAAGACGAAAATAGCAAAGAACAGGGCGCCGCAGGTTCCTCAAGCGAAATTCACACCGGTAAGTTTAATTCGTTTTACGACACCGCCTTCTTTGAATAGCGAACGCGCTCAAAAGAAATGTGCCGCAGCGGCCGCGGCAGGGCAACTTCTGCGGCTTTCAAACACTCCACTTTTCCAGCGGAATAAAACTCTATTGAACCTCTTTTTATCAGCGTTTATGCGAAAGAATTCTAGACACTTAAAACCCATTTATTTGATTGCAAAGTTCGATTTAAAAGTTCGTTTTCAATGATTTGACCTTAAACTGGGTTTTCGTTGGTGCTATAGAGAGTTTACTACTGGAATACTTGGAGGCATATTTCGACTATTTCGGAACTTTATTGGAATTAGGAAACTGGAGATAAAAAAAAGAACTGAAGAGAGATTAAGATATGAAACAAATGATCTCTAGTGAACCGTCACAGCTGCAACGATTTCACGAAGAAAAAAACACAAACGGAACACTACTGTTTTAAAATTCCACCTTAATAGTTGTTCATTCATTAGTTCTTTAGTCTGTCTGCGTTTTTGAATGAAGGTATACGGTTTATTTATAAGCAGTTGATCAAATTTTCGGGTTTTTTGTCCGTCTCTTTGCAGATCAATCTCTTTTCTTTTTGGTTTGTTCAAAGCGCTCTTTAGCTCCCTCAATTGTGCAATCTTTTTTATCGTAATTAGAAGCTCCCACTAAACCCTTTTGAAAGAAAAATCAAGCACTTTTGTTTCACCAGTTCGACTCTCATTTTCGAAGCCTTTTTTGGCCAAATTTCCTGGCAGATACTCGTTTTCAAAATTGCCAGTGAATAAGAAACACGTTTCCAAAATAGCAAATATATAATTTAACTTTGTTTTAAATCGCATACATTTCGAAAATGATCACACAGTAAAACGGTTTTCAAAAGCATTGATTTAAAAAACGGAACTATGAAAGTTTTTGTTAAAATATCAAGATCTGCTTGTGTTCATGCCTTCGCGTAAGGTTTTGGTAAGGTCCTTACTGTTTTTCGATTGCTCTCAACAAGCGTGAAATCGTGAAAAAGGTCACACTGAGCTGACATGCACTATAAACGCAAACACTTCCTGTAACACATTCGCTTTCTCTAGCCTTGAGATATAATTTTCGCCATGGTCGTAAATATTTCACCGAATTCTGCACTAAAAGTGCGATATATTAAGGTGACATAGGTAGAGAGGAGTCCTGTCTTCAGGTAACTTTGAATTTGGTGTGAGTGTTTACCAAGGCTCTTTTTCACGAGCTTTGTTGCTCTGAGCTAAAGAGAGTGGAGACGCTTCGAAAAAAAAAATAACCAGGACGAGTATCGTCTCGAGGAACAAAGAGTGTCGGAAATCAGTTTAATAGAAGAGTTTCCCAATATCAATGTTTTCTCTATAGCAGATGGCCCAGAGGATATTTCATTTCCGTATTTCTGCCAGTATATGGACTTGGTGCTACTGTTTGCGTCGCAACGTGTCAAACATTGGGAGCTCTTAATTCTGTTCACCTTTCGTAACTCACTGTAGGTGCAAATGTACGACGGCCCTTGAAACAATCGAGTTTGATTATGAATTGTCAAGGTGCTCTTGACTTAACGATAAACAAGGCAGATTTAAACGTGAATGAATGGTTCATTTCAAAGTACAGTGATCCTGATTTCATGTTTGTCCTTCTGATGTTATTAAGTTAAGCCCAGAATAGTGGGTGATAATTTCATGCTACTTTGCCAAGAACAACTCAAAACTGAGCTGAAGTTGAAATTTCTTTGCTCGTCGTTTCCCACCCCAATCAAACTGCAAATAAGATTAAAATTCGCATTTGAGCGGAAGTGTAAATTTTCACCAACCCATTTGAACAGGATCTAGACAGCTTTAGCCCCTAATAAACGAAAACTTTTAGACAGCAGTCATCAAAATGTTCGCCTATTGTTGCCAAACGAACCCATTTGACGCGCGCTTTAAAATGCTGGTTGAGAATGGGAGCTCATTAGCTTATTAGAAACAGAAGGTTTTTAGGTAAAATACATCAACACGCTCGAAGCCAGAATTAATATACATACTGCACGGTAACTTTTACTTTTTTCCTAAACACAAAGATGCGCGAATTCGTAATAAAACATAACGATTTCACGACAAAACTTAATGAAGAAAAAACGTGCGAAATCAGTGGTGGCTTCTTCTGTTTCTGTGTGTTTGAGTTTACATAATCAGGGTGAAGTAGTGATTGTGTTTTCAATAAAACCACACTTGCAGCCGAGGTGTGGGACCTTTCTCGTATCAAATACCAAACTAAGTTACTCTGCATTTTTAATACAACCTTTTAGCTCAATAAAAAGTCCCCCCCATTAAAAGTGTTTTTCAAAGCTTTCGAAGAGTAACAATAGGACTGTTTCGCTCGTAATGAAAAAAACGATCCGCCCCCCTAAATGAATTTTAAATCTGTCAGATCTTGCAGGTGCTTGCTAGGAATTTAGGTTCTGTAACAAACTATTTATCTGCGTGCCTAAGAATTATATTTCTTAATTTTTGGGAAAGGTTTTTTTAGTTGGAATTTTATCGTGAAGTACTGCATCGCCAGAAATGCTTTTATTTTAATGCACCTTCGAGTAGCGAGGTCATAACAAAGTAAATTTGCTCAAGGGTTTTATCTTTTAAATTTTACATCATAACCAAGCTCGGGTTTTTGTTTGAATAGGAAAACTTCTCAAAATTCAACCAAACCTCTTGAAAAAGTAATTTAGGATTAGCGTTTGGTTCTAATGAGTAAATTCATTCCTCATTGAATTGAGCTGCGTTTGTAATCAGTGATTCTACTTTTCTCATTGATGTAACAGCGCGTTTCCAGGAAACCCACGCGCCAGGAAATAGGTTCAGGACTTATTTGTTTGCAAAGCTGCCAATTCGGTTTCTGTCTCTCGGTAACGCCGTGCAATAAATCATTCAAGATTTTCTTTCATCGCCAAACTACCATCTTTTTCACCGTGCAGCAAAGCGCAAGTTTGGACACCTTGAGTAGTTTTTACATTCATGTTGAACAAAATACGCGGAGAGGAATCATCATTCAATGTATTCTGAGGATAAGCTTAATTTCTTTATTATTTGTTTGGTTGCTTTCATGATTTCGTTATTATATTTCGTTTATGGATCTGTAGTATGTAAATAAAACCTGTGTTTCGTCTTTTCCGAACAAGTTTCTTTTCGAAACCGTCTTAAAAAGTTGACAGTTAGTCACACCCAAGTGTATATTTTCTGATCATTATGAAAAAACTCGTTGAGTTGAATGATGGAGTTTGCTTATGAGCTCATTTACGTTCAAGAAATTCTCGTTTATTTACGCTTTTCATGGAGGGGAGAGTAAGTGTTTTTGTCGATTTAACGATTTCTACAAGCAGAACCTACTGTTTCACGCTAAAGGCCATAATTTTCTTCGTAACTAGACTAAACAAATCAAGCGGTAGAGATTTTTTCTCAGATGAACTTGCTGTTTGTTATATTTAAATACGTTATTTAGTCTCAAAGAAACTGTGGCTTGATTAAATATGCAGAACTGTTAATTATTTAGATCCTCTAACTAGTGTATTCTCTCTCCGTTGTTTTAAGCTTCTTTTCAAAGTTATAGTTGCTAGGTCGTCCTTAGGATTTGCGGGGAATTTTTCTCATTATTATGCGACTCAACTGAAAAAGAAACAAAGCCATTGAAAGTGACAGAAATCCTTGTTCGCTCAGTAAATTAAGAATCAATATAGGGGAGTTACTTTAAATGTAAACTAGCACACGTGGGGAAGATTTGAAGTCTCTTTTCTTAACTTCTAGGTCAGTCCTATTTTTTAGCTTTCGGTCAAATCAGAAATCGTGGCTCAATTGTTCTACACCTTATTTCAGCACAACGTTAAATCAGTGGTCTTAGTTCGCTGTTTGAACTCTTGAAAATTGTTTATCATATTCCGTCGCGGATATCTGCATTGTTTTCCATGAAAACCTCCTTGAAATCACAGCTGAACTGCAAAATGAGTGAACAAAGATACCGGAAAAAAAGAAGCTTTGCAAATAATTAATATTTCAACTGCAGCACACAATTAGTAGGATGAAACTTAAAGTAGTCCAAATTTCGCAGTGGATTGACTGCAAATGCAATTTTTACACCCTTCCCTTGTCCAGAACTTCTCCACATTTCAATTCCGCCTTGAAATTCGTTGATGAGATTGTAACATACCAGCTCAATTAGATGACTAACTCGCCTTTCTTTTGTCGACTCGTGTCACTTGGACAGGATATTCAATTTGTGCTTATGAATTCATCCCTTCACTGAATAATTGATAACTCGAGTCGAGATCAACAAAACGTTTTCTCCTTAAGACTAATAACATTGGTTAAGTTGATGGGTTTCATGTTGTTAAATGCATCTTGGGTTTTCAATAAAATTGTAAAAGCCATTGTAGTTTGTTATTATCCACCGCCTTTAGGCCGGGAACTAATTTTGTATTTTTATCAATATATACGGCTCATTTCAATGAAAAGTAGGGAAAACTGTTTTCCAGGTTTCGGTTCCTGGCAAATGTAATTGTTTCCTTCCAAAAGATCGATCACGGCTTAGGGTCGCGTTGTTCAACAAAGTAAACACGATTCTCCATCGTTTAAGCTCCACGTGTTTAAACAGTGGACAGCTCCATAGAAATCAAGACAATGGAATAAAAGACCTACATGTAACCACCCTGTTATGTGCAAACAATGGAGTTTGTGTTTCGACAAAGACTATCTTTTTCACTAGACGTATGTGATGGTCTCACATAATATTGCTTTAGGTTTCTAAACCAGTTTTGAAAGATTTCTACTATATCCTTGCAAGACCAAATCATTTGAACGAAGAAACTCAGCACACCAGAGCCATTTCGGGTTCCTGGCGCTCTCTTTGTTCTTTGACGGAATTATTTTTCAGACATTAGTCTTTTTTTTTTCACAAGCTTTCGTTTTGCTCTCGCCTTCCGCAAAAGTGCGATTAAAATCCCCTAATACCCAGGAAGGTAGATTAGCATTGAATTCTTGAATTAAGCGTGCAACACCTACGATTTAATGTGTCATGTGCGTCTGAGTGAGACAGACTAGTTTCGCGTGAAAATAACACATGTACTAACTAATTATTAACCTCGAACGTTCGGTCATTACGAGAAAATCTTTAACCGAGACCAACACAGCAAGCCTGTGGTTTGAGATTTTCCCGTAAAGACCGAACGTTAGAGTTAATAAGTTGTTTATTATATGGCTTTTTGATTTGGTTTTGCATCTCCATAAACATTACGGGAGAATAA